GCTGGTGTAGATGTGAAGAGAAGTGCTGGTGGAACTGCAAACGAATACAACCTTTTTGGAAGGAAGGATGGAGAATCCTCAAAGAACTTAAATGAAACCCTCCAATTGATCCTGAAATCCCATTACTAGGCATCTACCCAGGATAAAAAAATTCTTTTATCATGAGGATATTTTTTTAGACTGTTCATCGTACCTCAATTTACAATCAGCAAAAAGTGGAAACAGTCTAAATGCCCACCAACCCAGGAATGGATTAACAAGCTGTGGTATATGTATACCATGAAATTACTATGCAGCCACTAAAAAAAAAAGGAGACATTAGGGCGGTGCCTGTGCCTCAGTGAGTAGGGTACCAGCCCTATATATTCAGGGTGGTGGGTTCAAACCTGGCCCCGGCCAAACTGCAACAATAACAAAAAGTAGTCGGGTGTTGTGGTGGGTGCCTATAGTCCCAGCTACTCAGAAGGCTGAGGCAAGAAAATTGCCTAAGCCCAGGAGCTGGAGGTTGCTGTGAGCTGTGATGCCATGGCACTCTACTGAAGGCGACAAAGCAAGACTCCGTCTCTAAAAAAAAAAAAGGATGAAGACTTTACATTTTTTGTATTCACCTGGATGGAGGTAGAACACATTCTTTGTAGTAAAGCATCACAAGAATGGAGAAGCAAGAATCCAATGTACTCAATTCTAATATGAAGGCAGTAGATGAGCTAATATGAGTAGGGGGTAGGGAAACAAGTGATTGGGGAGAGGGGAGGAGTTGGGGGTCATAGTGTATTGCATACCTTTTGTAGGTGGGACACAATTATAAGAGGGACTTTATCTAAAAAGTGCAATCAGTGTAACCTAATTCTTTGTATCCTCAATGAATCCCAAACAATAAAAAATAAAAAATTAAAATAAAAGAATAATTGGTAGGACACTTGGTTATTTAAGAAATATTGTTCTGAAAAACAAACAAAAAAATATTGTTCTGTAAATATATAATTTGGGCAAAAACAGTGTATTCCTAAGAAAACAGCAACAACTTCCCCAGCCCTTCTTTGTAATCTGGTAGCTTAAGTCCCCAAAGCTGTGGAAGTCTACAAATGACAGCAGCAGATCTGGTGCCGCTGTGGGAAATAGTGTGGTTGTAAACCAGGATTCTAATGCTGTCTTGAAAAATCGTTATCTAGTCATTGAGAGAGCTGGAAGAATGCATTACCACAGCACCTAAAAAGTACCATGAATAAAGATGGCAATGATCATTATGAGGATCTGTAAAAAGTGATTATAAAAACATACAAATCTGGTGAAGTTAATTAATTAATATTTATATAATACAATATATTATATCCAAATATCCAAATGTAATATGCAAAATACTGCCATTTTAATGTATAATATTATTGAGGTATTAAAATTACTGAGCTATTTTGCATTCTTTTATGTGTGCTGAATCTTTGAGACCCAGAGCTGGGTTATTTACACTCACAGCATGTCTCAATTTGCACTAGTCATATTTCAAGTGCTTGGTAACTACATGTGGGCAGTGGTTACCATGTTGGACAACACAGATCTAAAACTAAAATGACCCACAGTTTACAATTTGGGTTTGAGATTATTTGTGGATTAAAGATAATCTTGTCTAATTGTTGCCTCATTTTACATATGGGGAGAAGTTCTCCCATTCCAATTCCCTGGGCTCAGAAATCTTCCTGAACTGATCTGTTTGTATGTTCATGAGCACTTGTCATGCATGGGGCATTGTGCCATGAGAACTCAACTTCCTCAGCTATAACATATAGCTAAATACACATGAATAATGAATAGCATCTTTTTCATAGGGCAGGGGTGGGGAACCTGCAGACTTAAGGTCACACGTGGACTTCTAGGTCCTTAAGTGCAGCCTTTTGTCTGAATCCAAATTTTATAGAACAAATCCTTTTATCATTAGCAACACATTATTGTTCTTTTACACTTTCATTGTATTCTTTAAAATGAATATATTTAGAATACTGAAGAATAAAATAAGTTTCAATGAAATCATCCTCCCAGATTTACAGAAATTAGTAAGCCATTAGGGCAACACTGATGTTCATGATTTAGTTCTAACTTCCCCTGCCTGACTGGTGCTACTACTGCACATGGCTGGTTGGAAAGAGTTTATGGATATACCATATTTCTGTTTGAAGTAGAATTTCTGAATAGTTGCACAGCTCCACAGTATGTTTTAATTCTACTTACTTAACAGAATCAAATCAAAGAAGACCAAGAATGCAGAAGGGAGAAAACAGATTTTCTTAATGAGGACTAGGAATTCCAATATTACCTTGTTTCTGCTAATGATAAGATGATTTGCTTGCTTTGTGATACTGCAATATCAACATTAAAGAAATGCAATGCTCACCAGCATTGTAACACTCATAAGGATCACTAATATTTTAAATTAGAGGGAGAGGTATGAAAGGTTGCATTGCAGAAACTAAAATCAAAATGAAAACCAAAATCAAAGACAATGCTTTCAAGCAGCAATAAGACCTAAAAATAATGCCACTGAAGTAATATATAAAGTAGCTTATATATTTGGTGGTGGGAGAGCCATTCTGTGATACAGAAACTGTGAAAGAATGCATCGTGGAAGTTGTTGAATGGTTAGACCCTGATATCTTAAAGTACAAACAACTGCCTCTTTCAAGGACAGCTGTAACTGATCAGCAGCATGAATTAGACTTCAACTTAACAGAACAACTTTATGCAATACTTTAAAAGGAAAATATATATTATTCAATCACTTTGGATGAATCAACTTATACTATTGACTTGGTCCAGGTTTTATACTTCATTTGGGTCATAACTGAATATTTTCTTTGCTACAAACAGTTATTTGCTTTGGGCACTCTTGTGAAAGAACATGGGGAATAAATATCTTCAAAATTTTATTTCCGTGAGAACAGATAGCTAAATCTTAGGATGAACAGAATTAGCAATGTGAATTACTGAAAGAAGATTTCTATAGGAATGCAGCATTTCTGTGTGATATCATGTCAAATTAAAATGACTTAAATGCTGGCTCGGCACCTGTAGCTCAAGCGCCTGGGGTGCCAGCCACATATACAGGAGCTGGTGGGTTCGAATCCAGCCCGGGCCTGCCAAACAACAATGGCAACTGTAACCAAAAACTAGCTGGGGATTGTGGCAGGCGCGTGTAGTCACAGCTACTTGGGAGGCTGAGGCAAGAGAATCAGAGAATCAAGAGAATGCTATTTCTTTGCAAGGTAAAACTAAATCTATATATGATATGTCTCAAAAAAACTCTAAGCATTTTGAAAAAAGCTATCTTTTGATGAAAGATATATGGGAATTATATGAAGACTACATAGCTGCTATAAACTTATTATTTGGAGAATACAATGAAAACGTTCACTTTCAGCCTCACCTAGTTGATATCACCAAAGCACCAAAAGAACTACAACTAGAATTGAATTCTCAGTAGGTGCCATTTTAAAGTCATTGTTTGATGCTAAGAAATATCCAATTGAAACATAGAAAAATGCAGTTGAATACCCACCCATACCTTGGCAACATGCTCCCAAAATAAATGTTTTCTGGTTTTTTGACCACTTTTCTTTTCTTTGTTTTTTGGAAACAGAGTCTTGTTCTGTTGCAACTCAAACTCCTGGGCTCAAGCAATCCTCCTGCCTCAGCTTCCCTAGTAGCTGGCACTACAGGCGTGCACCAATGTGCCCAGCTAATTTCTTTTATTTTTAGTAGAAACAGGGTCTCACACTTGCTGAGGCTGGTCTCAATCTCTGGAGCTTAAGCAATCTACCTGCCTCAGCCTTCCAGAGTGCTGGGATTGCAGGCGTGAGCCCAGGCGCCTGGCCCCACTTTCCAACCACTTATTGCTGGGAATCTACATTCTCTGACCTAATCCAAATCAAGATGCCATTAAAGTCGCAAATGACTGACCCCCATCTAGAGGATCAGCTGAAACTGAACTTCCATGCTGCAATCAAACATCCACATGCTTTCCAAGAAAAAGCAGATACCACAAAGTCATTCAAAGGATAGTTAACATTAAAATTAACTAATAGTTTTCAGTTTTTGAAATTCTTAAATACATAGTAGTTAGACTTTTACAAAATAATGTACATTTTTAAGTATATCTAATTGAATTTTCTTGAATGCAGCCCTTTGGATTACAGCTAAATTAATGCGGCCTTCAACACCACAAGGTCCCCCACCCCTGTCAAAGGGTCACTATGAAGTTAAAATAAGTCAACACTTATAAAGTGCTGAATATAGCATCTCCCACAGGGCAAACACTATAAAGGTGTTTGGTAAAATTCAGTTAAAAAATCTTGAAAAATTGTAAATGAATCTGCCTTTTTCCAATGTGATAAGGAAGTAAAATGTAGCTTTTTTTTCCTTTTCTTTTTTGAGGCAGTCTATCACCTTGGGTACAGTGCCATGGCATCATAGTTCACTGCAACCTCAAACTCTTGGGTGCAAGTGATCCTCTTGCCTCAGTCTTCTAAGTAGCTGGGACTACAGGTGCCCACCATCACCAGGTAGGTACCCACCAGGTAATTTTTCTGTTTTTAGTGGAAACAAGTCTCTCTTGCTCAGGCTGGTCTTGACCTCCTGAGCTCAAGTGATCCATGGACCTCGGTCTTCCAGAGTGCTAGGATTATAGAAATGAACTACCATGCCTGGCTTAGGAAGTAAATGATATCTGAAGAGAAGAACTACTTTGAAGGGAAAACTTCATAGTTCAGAATCAGACTAAAACTCAGAAGACATAGGAGTCTGTTAAACATGTGGAAGTAACTTAATCTCTCTGTGTTTCAATTTTCAAATTAAAAAAAAAAGCATGCTATTTTTCTATGCCTAATTACTAAAAACAGTTATGGAAATAAATGAGATGCTATACATAAAGTACTTTGAAAAATTCCAGTTAATGGTGATCCCTTCTACAAAGCCAAATGTCTTCTCACTATAAGATAATATAGTTATCTTCCTCGCTGCAGCCGCCCCCTTCTACGCGATCGCGCTGAGCTACTAGTGTCCCGGCCTGGAATCGGGCTGCTGCGTCCTCAGCCGCGTCGTCTGCCTCCTGACCATGGACCCCCGCAAAGTGAACGAGCTTCGGGCCTTCGTGAAATTGTGTAAGGAGGACCCGAGCGTTCTGCACAGCGAGGACATGCGCTTCTTGAGGGAGTGGGTGGAGAGCATGGGGGGTAAAGTACCACCTGCTGCTCAGAAAACTAAAGAAGAAAACATCAAGGAAGAAAATACGGATAGTAAGAAGGCAGAAGAAAACATAAAGACAGAGGAACCATCAAGTGAGGAGAGTGATCTAGAAATTGATAATGAAGGTGTGATTGAACCAGACACTGATGCCCCTCAAGAAATGGGAGATGAAAATGCAGAGATAACCGAGGAGATGATGGATCAAGCAAATGATAAGAAAGTGGCTGCCATTGATGCCCTAAATGATGGTGAGCTACAGAAAGCCATCAACTTGTTCACAGATGCCATCAAGCTGAATCCTCGGTTGGCCATTTTGTATGCCAAGAGAGCCAGTGTCTTCATCAAATTACAGAAGCCAAATGCTGCCATCCGAGACTGTGACAGAGCCATTGAAATAAATCCTGATTCAGCTCAGCCTTACAAGTGGAGAGGGAAAGCACACAGACTTCTGGGCCATTGGGAAGAAGCAGCCCATGATCTTGCCCTTGCCTGTAAACTGGATTATGACGATGATGTTTGTGCTATGCTGAAGGAAGTTCAACCTAGGGCCCAGAAAATTGCAGAACATCGGAGAAAGTATGAGAGAAAACGTGAAGAGCGGGAGATCAAAGAAAGAATAGAAAGGGTTAAGAAGGCTCGAGAAGAACATGAGAAAGCCCAAAGGGAGGAAGAAGCCAGACGACAATCAGGAGCTCAGTATGGCTCTTTTCCAGGTGGCTTTCCTGGAGGAATGCCTGGTAATTTTCCTGGAGGAATGCCTGGAATGGCAGGAGGCATGCCTGGAATGGCAGGAATGCCTGGACTCAATGAAATTCTTAGTGATCCAGAGGTTCTTGCAGCGATGCAGGATCCAGAAGTCATGGTGGCCTTCCAGGATGTGGCTCAGAACCCAGCAAATATGTCAAAATACCAGAGCAACCCAAAAGTTATGAATCTCATCAGTAAATTGTCAGCCAAATTTGGAGGTCAAGCGTGATGCCCTTCTCACAAATAAAGCCCATGCTGAAGGAAAAGCAACCTATATATCACCTAATGGATGTCGCAATAATACAAACCAGTGTACCTCTCACCTTCTCATCAAGGGAGCTGGGGTGCTTTGAAGATAATCCCTACCCCTGTCCCCCAAATGCAGCTCAAGCATTTTGCAGTGGTTTGCCATTAGGATATTCATTCAGATAATGTTTTCCAACTAGAAATTACAATCTTTAAAACACTTTTTAAAACTTAAAAATATTTAAAACTAATTAAAAGGGTGTGTTAATTTCTACATTTTTCTTACTAATCATTTTGGATTTTTTCCTTTGAATTATTGGGCAAGGAAGATAGATACCTGAAAGATTATAGCTCTAGTTTGAGTAAAATAAAAGTTTATTAGGAGGGTACAAATACAACTCATTTAAATATATAAATGTTTGAGTTGGATGTATGGTTGCTGAGGCATCTTGATTTGTCTTTTTAAATGCTTTATTAAAAAAAAAAAAAAAGATGATTTATTTCAGTAAGACTAATGGGACCACCAGTATTTCAGTAGGACCTGGGTAGGGACTGGAAGTACTTGGCAGGACAGCAGCAGTCTTGCTGTGTTTTACATAAAATGCACCCTTGTGCAGGTTGCATTTAAATCTTACACTGTGGTGAAGGGTTGAATTTTTTTGTAATGCTGCAGTAGAGTTGGATTAATTTAGCTCTCTTCTTGTCCAATATATAAAATAAATGTTTCATA